GGGGGGGGGGGGGGGGGGTTGTTGAGAGGTGCAGGGGCTTTTTGGTGTTTGGGATGTCGATGGGTTTTTGGGAAGGTTTGCTTTAAAAAGCCGAGATCAAAACCAGGGCGGGCTTGAATCTTCAACCCTCTGCCCAAAAGCTATCCGGTCTGAAGATCGACAGTTCCAATCTAATTCTAAGCTGTAAAGTGGGGAAGATCGGGCCCTGAATAATTACCGATAAGATACATTAGGGTTCCTGAATGTACCTACGCCATAACATGCACTTTAAAGCCGTACTCTTACTGTTTAGGCCCCTGCATCCACTTTGTTTCTGGATGGGGGGAGCATAGAAGCAGCTCGCCAAAGGCGAGGTTCGTGCTTGCCGCTGCAGCGGTGGCAATGTTACCGACTGTCGACACCGAAAAAAGCCGAGGAATCGTCAGCACAGGCAGCTTCTGGCAGCGCGGGCAAGGTTTGCAGGGAGGATGCGGACAAGCTCGGCAAGGACATGAAGCAAGCAAGGAGCCAGGAGGAGCTGTTGGAAAGGCAACGTCCTTCTCGAGGTCAACCAAGCAAGTACTGGGGTGCCACCCCNNACCCCAAATCGTACACCCTAAACCCTAAACCCTAAACCCTAAATCCGCACCTTGGTAGATGTAGTCAGAGGCGTACTTGCTGATGGGGGTGGGGACTGAGTCAGGAATCGGCAGCTCGTGGGGCGTTGGGACAAAGCTCCTTTACAGAGCGACCACTGAAACCTTGACTGGGTTGCTGCTAGGAACTAATTTCGGTTACCACAACGGGGATACATAGTATCATAGTACATGATAGGGATTCCTTATTATAGTAGCTATTTGCCGCCGGAAACCTCACCTAACCTCGTCGAGCGCGAGTGCCAAAAAACTCGTTAACAGCCACCCAGTTGATGGAGATTGCGGAAGAAAAGCAGGCCGCAGCTCAGAGCGATCTCGAGCTTAGTCGCCCGGCGAAGATTTTCCCTGCAACAACGCCCTCCAGCGCAATCCGCGGAGCGAGATGAAGGACATCGTTGGAAACTGCGGCAGTGGATGTGACATGGTCGGGACGAGCCCCCAAAAAATCAATCCCAGGCGGGTTCCGGGCCACTGACCTGACCGACACGTCATTCAACAACACACTGGAATGCCTGGCTGTCAATCCCGACCCAGGGTCGGTTCCAGAGAAGGCGCACTTTGCAATCGCACGATGAAAGAACAACGAGTCGCGTGCACGGTGCCTCAGTAGGGTCTTTGGATGCTTGTGTGTGTTACTGCCGACCCTGTGCGAACCCCGCCTGGCCATACCCCGAGTGAGCGACGAAGCCTCAGCGTATTTCCCAGGGGGCCCAGAACTCGCGCCTTTACTAGTCGAGCCCAGAAGCAGTGTTTCTTTGGGAGGGGGACACATGCTGACGGGTCTTCAGCAGGCCTTGGCTTCGGAGTGGGGCTGCTCACCTTCCTCCTGTGCCTCGGCGTGGGCCTGACCCTGACGCTCCGTCCGGGGGCCCAGTGCTTGCAAAGGGGCAAAGGGCCAAGGTGGAAGAAGGCACTTAGACAAGGAGAGCTAAACGGAGAGACCTTGTCGCCATAACTTAGTAGCGTTGACTCTTCCTCTGATAATACTTGAGACTGAGTTCTAGGTGAGACCTCGCCTGAATTGCTCATCCGAGGCACCCCCCACGGTGGCGAAAACGCGAAGTTCCTCTTACAGTTCCAGGCCGGCAGGGTCAGCAAAGGATGGAGAACGGCTGCTTGCTGGTGAACACATCATCAAGCAGCTCTTGCGTCGACGGTTCCAATGACCCTGCTGCGCTTATCAGGTTGATCCGTGGCTAGTGACAATACTAGTGATGTTGTGGATGACGATGACGACGATGATGATGGTGAAGGAAGCTGATGGTGATGATTGTCATGATGAGGACTGCGGCGGCGATGACGATGGTGACGAAAGATGGTCATGGTATGATGATGCTTCACGACGATGATGATTTTGCGGTGAGGGCAAGAATAGTGATCATGCTGATGGCAATTAATGACGATGATGGCGCTGTTATTGTGGATGGTGAGGATGACGGCAGTGGCGGTGGCAATGGTTCGCGGCGGTGATGAGGATGGTGATCACACTGACGACGATGATGATGACTATGGTGGGGGCAGCCGCCTTGTCGTTGTTGCCGCTGGTGATGGTGATGGTAATATTGAAAAACGGACGACCTATGCCTTCACGATGGCGGCGATCGTCATGATAACAAGCACGGCGCTGACCAATTGGTTCCCATGATGTTGAGACCGGGTGGAGTTAGTGATCCACGGAGGCCAAGCCTCTGATGTGGGCAGCCATGGAAGGGGTGGAAAGCGGCCCATCACAAGTGAATGCTCGCAGAATGCCAGATGCTGCATGCCCCCGCAATCAAACACACTGATGGCAGAAGTTATGATTACCGAGGCGATGGTGGACATGATAGTCGCAGGCGAGAGACCTTCTCGAATCCCTGACCTCTGTGTGCATCCAGGCGCTCGTCTATGCCATTTCATGGCGCCACACGCATCAGCGCGCCTTGGCGGCTCAAGCTCTCAGGTCAGAAACCCTAGTGCCCCTTGAACCCCTACGCCGCAACACCCTAGTAGTAAGTTTTGGTTATTGTCAGAGGGCTTTTTCCAGCAGGGCCGGCGTCATCCCCCCCTGCTGCTGAGGAGCCGTCGTGATGCACTCGATTCGCATAGCCATCCCGGCGCTCATGTTGATGATGATCAACAGGCCGAGCGCAACATCACTTTCAGCCAGAACAAGGGACGTGCCCTGAAGCCGGTAACTATTCGAAACTCCTACCCCTGCGCCCTAGCCTCGAAAACCTGAAACCCTCAAGTCTTTTGACACTTACAGTCAACACGAAAGGCTTTGCAGTATTGCCTCTGTCAGACCGTCGTCATAGTTACTGTTCTGGCATGCCCGAGTGCGAGTGTCAAGCGAACCGCAAAGCCACAAAGCCCGAACCCCTTAACCCATGAAGTCTGATACTTGATGGTATTACCATGGTATTACCTGTCATGCGGGCTTGTCCTTGCGAAGAGTCAGACAACACTAAACTTCACTAAACCGCTAAACCCTTAAGGGCCTGGAAGCCTTAAAGCCCCTACAACTCGACAACCCCCCCAAGAAAAACAGCAACACCCCCCTAAACCCTAAGCCCTAAACCCTAAACCCTAAACCCGGAGGATGCAGAGCTGGTTGCTCGAGCAGATCGGGCACCGGGACTCCCAGCAGCTTCTTCAGATGCCCTATGGCTGCATGCCTTATGGGGGTTCCCGAAAAAAGGGGACCCTAATATAGTAGCTTAAATAGTAGGATCCCGATTATAAGGACCCCAAAATAAGGTACCCCTAATAATCTGAAACCCCCTTATGGCACCTGCAGTGGAAGCTCCAACATCGGTTCAGTTTAAGAGTAATGCTTGGGGATATCACAGCACTTGTCTCACTGATTGTCCTTAATCCGGTTTCCAACTTTTTGGGGGATACTCTCGACATCCGCAACCGCAGTTCATTAGAAGTAGGGGAAGACCTGAACACACAATCCGATGCCAGGCTTCGGGGGGTGAGTCGTGAGTTTTGAGGAGGTCGACGGGACATGTTGTTCCTGCGCGTCTTCGTGCGAATGATAGTCTTGTTGTCGGCAACAAGGCATCTGTAAAGACTAAGAAGTCCTCCGCCTTCTCATGCTCCTCATCATCGCAAGGCAGCTAAGTCTTCTCAAGCCACTTTTACACGCCTTGCCTCACACTCTGGCAAGCCCGATGCCATGATCATGAGTCTGTAGTTTCATTCGGCTCCGAAGCACGCAGGGTTGGGATGGGGAGGTTAGACTGCGCGGTTTAACGTTAAGTTGCGGGTCTGGGGATCTGGGTGTCCACGGTTTCTGGCTTACGCAGGGGGCCAGCGATAGGTTAAGATTACGCATGAGGGAGAAGCCTGTCTGCGGGAATCCGCAATGTCGTCCTGCATACTCAGGACCGGGTTGACTCCAAAGCACGTCGTGGACGGGGTGGTGGTGTCCTGATTGCGAAGACTCCGTTTTCTGATTCCGACTATATATGGCCCTAGCAAAGTTGCTTACAGTGATTCTGCCGATTAATATAGTAGAAGCTTTAATGCTTACCAATATCACTGCTATTGTTCCTTATAAATATACCATAGACCTTATTCTAATTATTAAGGCCCCTACATTAGTCGTTGTGTCATCGCTCCATGCCGGCCTGAGGAGTACACCCTCTCGCTGGCCCTGGTTTACGTGGCCGGGACCCCACATTCCCAAATGATCTTTGCTCTGGAGGGGCCAGAGAAGAGACGGTGGGTGATGACGATACCGAGATTTCTTTCGGGAACTCGCAAGAATAATAGTCATGGTACGCGTGAGAAAAATCATGTTGTCGTGCCTGTAACCAGAACAAACACAAACCGGTCATTTATAGGAGCCACACAGACCGCAGTAGGAACTTGTAACACTGAGTTAATTATCCTGGAAATGATGGCAAGGGTTTCAAAACGTCAATCGCAGCGATGTGGGCAATCGTCATGACAAACTTGAAGGTAGTAGTGGGAGGGAGACTGAGCTACTGAGCCCCATAAACCCCAAATCCCACAAGGATCCACCCGCTCGGCGCGGCGAAGGAAGTATCCTGAGCATGCTCGCCTCCATCATCATCATCACCACCAACACCAGTACGACGAGTTTGGTTGTCTTATTTTGCGATCGGTACTACTTCTAGTCTTCTACTAGTAACTATTAGTATAAGTGCTGCTGCAGTTACCTGCGAGCATAGTTGAGCTATGCCCCTACGATCTCTTTTTTGCTGGGAGGCGCGGGCTTATGGTGCAGTAGTTCATCGCGAGACTGGGAACCCAATGTCTACACCGCAACCTGCGATCAAGCCCTACACTAAACCCTGTCATTCTGATGGTTATTGAGGTCATGGTGTCCATGCTCTTCTTCGTTTGGCCCTTCGACCCGGATCTTGCTTCGGAGGGTGGAGATTCGAACGCCCTAATACGTACTATAGGGGTCGTCATTTATGGTATGAGTGGGCTCAAAGAGTTCTGAATGTAGCTAGCCCCTGTAAACTCGAAGCCCCCTCTGCTACTTAGGGGCCTTTAGGATGGAGTGCGTCCTCCGGGCGCATGGCCAGAGCTCTTGGTGCAAAAGCGTCTAGGTCTAGGGCTTTAGGGGGCTTGGGGGTTTAGGGCACTAAGGTTTGCTCTAAGCCCTCATTAGGTTCCCAGCAGAGGCTCTTGCAGGCTGGATGCAAAAAAAAAGGGGGAGTTGCGCTCGGAAACTGGTTCAAACAATGGGGGCCGTATTTCGGGTTGGAGGAGCTTATGTATCAGTTAGGCCCTCCCTATGGATAGCATATCAAAAAAAGGCTTCGGGTTGCTGGGCGGGTTGTGGGATTCCGGCGAAGATCCCCCAACCCACGATGCTTGGACGCCATCGGAGATCGGACAGACGCTGGCATGGGGTTTTGCTTAGGGTCTGCATTTTTGGGTGTGGCTTTCGGGTGTCTTTCCGTGTTGCCGGCATTCGTTTACATAAAAATGACCGTGCGGACACATGCGTTGCCTGGAGAGTCCGAGTGCTAGCGTCCGGACCGTGCCGTGAACCAAATATCAGTTGTAGTCTTGTTCTGCGGATGAGTACCATGTGGTGGGTCTGGGCAGTGAGGGCAGCAGTCGAGCCCCTTGTGAACAAAATCGGGTTCTGAGGTTCTGAGGATTTAGGCTTAAGGGTTTTTGAGGGTGCAAACAAGGCTGTAGGGGAGTAGGATAGTTGTTTGGGCCTGAGGCCATCAAGCCATTGGGTTTTCGGCTTTGGCATTGCCTTTCGGGTTGAGGGACGGCAGCGAACGCCAGATGCAAACGGACTTAGACAATTTGCTACCCCAGGCACGTGGCTGCAGAGAAGCAGTCGGGCTTCCGACACCTTCTCCATGTCAGTGGGCTCTCGCGTGGAGCGTAGCTTGGCATCGGCGGGGTTCAAACCCTCTGGGGCCTAGACCCTAAAACCCACAACCCTAAATACCTTCTCGGCCGTTTGGCTATGATCAAGTGTAGTATCTCTTCTTATCAGTGTGACAACTGATATGTCTTCAACTGGAGACTTGCTTGTCGCATTTATGAATTCTGTGGATCAGGAACTGACTCTCACGAAACCTTGTAGACCTCCCATGTAGACTTCTTCAGCTTGCTGGACTGTGAATACCGTTGACCTTAGCCTTTTCCTTCAGTCTTAGCTAGCCTGTTTTCGAGCTGCTATGCCATGCGTAGTCCCTGTCAAGCCCAGCTTCTGACTGTGTCACTCCGACCTGCTACCCGGGAACCTCGCCTGGCTTGTCCGAGTTGTGAGAGCGTACACACACCAAACACCCTAAATGCCTAAACAGCTTAAACACCCCAAACACCCGAATCCCTAGAGGTGGTGCTGTCCGCGAGAGAGAGATAGAGAGAGAGATAGCCCTGGCGAAAAAAAAGACAGAGAGAGAGAGAGAGTCCGAATCGGCGGAAGGGTGTAGGCCGGCACCCTTCTTTGTACACAGCCAACTCTTGTCTCCTCATGCTTCGGGGTCTTTCATGGGCACGAATATTTGTCTTTGGCTCAAGCCAGGAGGCAAGCCAGTGCACACTTCCGCAGCAGTCATTGATAGCCATTCCCACTCTCGCAACACTGCCTCGTCCATCTGTAGCGCAAATTCAGCGCACTACTCGGGCTGTGCCGTGACCATGCTGGCGCTAGCTTACCTTTATGGCTGCATATGCGTCCCGACCCCGGGGGGCGTGTATGGTCGAGCTGGAGACGGCAATTTCCAGCGTTTCAACGTCCTGAGGCGGGCCTTGTTGCAACGACACTGGTCATTGTCATCGACCGGTCGAGCATTCAGATGCTCAAGGGCTTGGACCGGACCTCGACCTGCTTCCTTCCCGTCCGATACACCGTAAACTCCAGTGCCTCTAAGGTGTCCACGGGCACTAGCGATGGATTGAGCCGGCTGCAGCGCATCTATCTTTCGGCTGCTGGGCGGCTAGCAACCGTACATCCTCCCCTCATGCAGTGAAAGATTAACGTTATTATGATGATGATTATTATTATCGTTATTGTTACTCTCATTATTACTTCTACTGTTATTCTTCTTCTTCTTCTTATTATTATTCTTATTATTATTATGATTATGATTTTGATTATGATTATGATTATTATTATTATGATTATTATTATTACTATTAGTCTTATTCTTATTGCTACTATTGGTTATTCTTATTATGATGATTGGTGCGATCGAATCGAACCAAGAGCCGGGTTGCATCAGAAACCTGTCCATTCGTTCCTCAGGTCTATTTGAGCGCGATGATGGCGGATTGGCTTCAGGGCCCCTTTGTGTATGCGCTCTATGCGTCGTATGGTTCCTTGATGCATTGGGCCCCAGGAGGGTATCTGAGTTTCATCTTGAGCCCATGACTTGCTGGACATGCGTGAACGGGAGAGACTTATGCCCCGTGCAAAGGTTTCTCGCGTGAGGATAACGCGACCCTCTTCGTCGCGGGCTTTGGCAGCAGTGCCCTCTTCGGCACTTTCATCGGGTCTATGGCCGACAAGTACGGGCGCCGAAGGTTTGCAGCCTCTTGGATGCAAGCTGTCTGACGCGATTTAGGCTGCAGCTACTTTTGAGGCAGGGCTGCGGTTAATTTCACTGCGACAGCACGGCGCGTAGTTTCAGTACAGTTGCCAGTTCGACTCTTCTTGTCTTTTCAACAGAAGCAAACTGAATTGCACATATAATGATGGGCCGTAGTACTCGTCTTCTGTTCTTTTGAAGCAAGCCGGCTCAGGCTCTCTACTGCGTGCTCTACTTCATGCGGCAGCCTCAGTCATCAGAGCACAGCCTGGAACCTAACAGGGTTGTTCCCTCGCTGCCCACAACGAAAGCCTTCTACCCTGAAATCTCATTTCCCAAAGTCAGCCCAAGAAACCCTAGACCCTAAACTCCTAAACCCCAACCCCTGAGCCTAAAACCCTAAACGACGTTGCCGGATCCGGAGCGGCAGTGCAGCAGCGCACTCCGAGGTCCTGCCTCACGAAGCACTTCAAGCTACTCGGATGGTCTGTAGTTCTTGTAGGTCCTGACCTCTGGATCCTCCCAGCCTTTCATTGCATTGGCAGGAGGGGAGCTTAAGCCGCAAGCCTAGACGGAATGCGTCACGCATGCTCCCGAAGTGAGACAGTTGCTTCATGGACAGCTTCCTGAAGTGGCGGAAGCCTTCCGACCTACACTCCCTTGCCCTTGGGGGGCCCCTTGCGCCCTGAGCGAAGTAGGAGGACAAGAATGAGTCATGCAGCTTGTGAAAGAGTGGGGTTGCAGTTGATGATATAAACCCTGCATTACCTTAAGGACCTTAAACTATGGGAATTGTGGTATATTCTCTCGCTTGTTTTTATCATCAGCCGCATGCCTGTGTCCTGCACCTCGGAGATTCACAAGGGACCCTTGAGGATTTAGTGTTTAGGCTTTCATCAAGTCCGGTTTCAAAAGGGAGTAAGGCACCCTTACAGCCCTCTAAGCCGCAGACAAAAAGCCTGGGAAAGAAGATCAAGGTCGATGTTCATGCTCCTTATCGGCCGCCTCACGGGTGGGATCGCGACCTCCCTCCTTTTCAGTGTGTGTCTCGCTTGACAATTTAGGGGTTTAGGTGTTAGTATGATTTAGGGTAGAGGGTGTTGCGATGTGCTGCGAGGGAACTTGACCCGGCGAGGCCCAATCAAGCCTCTGTAAAAAAGGCTTTAGGGGCTTAGTAACTTTGTAGCCCGCAGATCCAGTTTCAACTCCCCGAAGTGCAAAAGCCCTACACCCTGGACCCGAAGCCCTCAAACTCTTAGTCGGAACTTCAGGCACCCGGGCTGTAGGCTGGCAATGCTTCAGGGTTTGAGGCTTCAGCTTTTGGAGCTAATATAGGGACCTCAATAATTACCTATATCATTTTGGGGTTCCTTATTATAGTTTTATGGCCCCTGAATTGGGGTTTATTGCCTCTGGGTTCACGAGATCAGGTTTCCTGTCTGTCGGTTCGAGCAAACGGAGCGAGCCTTAAAATTACCAATAATTACGATTTTGGGGGTTCTTTATTACACTTATAGTAGAATGGGCCCCAAAACCCTATTCTAAATATTAAGGCCTCTATAAAAATAGTCGTGCCTGGACTGTTTAGTTGAGGGCCTAGGGTTTGGAGTGTTGTGAAGTTTAGGGACAGCTTTGGGACTGCCGGGAAGTCGCAGCCATGGGCCTGTTTCCCAGCAGCGGCGACATCGGCCAGTGACGGACGCGTGCAGCGCATGTCGCATGGCGCATCTCCTCTGGGAGAGATACCACAGGTTGTCAGCTTCTTGAACTTGCAGCGGGAACCGGATGACACGAGCACGCTGGCGAACGATGTTCAGCAGACCTTCAACGGAACAGACATGCACCGTTTGGTGCGCCCGGCCGTGGGCGTTGCAAGGGAAGAGGTGCGGACAAAGCCGAAGGCAACGTTCATCCCTGTGCTCTCAGGGAAAACGGCCCCCGGCGACAAGGGCCCTCGGGATGACAATCTTCCGGAATCGCCTGGGTACGAGCTGCAGCTGGATGAGGAAGTGCTGGAAAGTGCCCACACAGCCCTCATCCGGGAAGTGAGGAGCGGTAACGATTTCCGGGTGCAGGAAATCCTGCAAGTCACCCCTGCCATAAGGAAGGACCTGCTACAGCGCAAGAATGCCGATGGGAATACCGTCCTGCACTTAGCGGCCAATGTACGGTCCAGCGAAAAGGGTGCTTTGGTCCTGTCCTACCTTCAGTACTCAAAAGCAGAGTTGGAGGCCAAGAACATGCTTGGAGAGACCGCTCTCTTGTTGCTTGGCCAATCTTCGAGATCCTTCTTTACTCTCTGTGGTCTGGGTTTCCAAAATATTAAAAAAAACGGAGCCCATGGAAAGGAGGATTGAAAGTACCGTGAGGTATATTACAGTACATTATATCATAGTATACAGAATCGTATACTGCACTAGGTTTTTTCTAGAATTTCTATTCTATGCTAGTCCTTTAAGTCCGACCCAGGGCAAATCCATGGAGTCCCGAAGCAAAAAAAAGTCCGACCCCAGGTTAGCGGTGCGCCAAGCGCTGGGGGACGGAGCAAGGCCAGAGGCGCTGAATCTCGTCTCGTGCCTCCTCAAGGGCCGCGCCGACCCAAACACCTCCGAGCTGCTAAACAAAGAGACTCGGCCGTTCTTGAAAGTTATAGGGTTTAGGGTTTAGGAAGCTTAGGGGTTTAGAGGTTTAGGGGTTTAGGGTTTAGGGTTTAGGGTTTAGGATTGCGCAAGTCCTGATGCAAAAAGGAAGCTTAGGGGGAAGAGACCACCTGTAGTATAGGGAACAAAATGTCATCAGTTTCTTTAGATGGTCACGGCCTTCCCATAAAAAAAAGAAAACAGAGCCCAGGAGACTCCGCTCATGGAAGCCGCGTGCTACGGGAGCAAGGCTGTGACCCAGTTGCTGCTGGACTTCCAGGCGGATGTTGCTCAAACCACTGGCTCGGGCTCCACGGCGCTGGATTTCGCCACGAGCGAGGGCCACAGTAGCCTGGCAAAGCTCCTTGAAGCGGCTCAAGCCCGGAAGGCGCGTCAGAAGTGCAAGACACCACTTTGGGAAGCTCCCTTCGCAACGACTATGGGCTTTGACACCTGGTCCTCAGGGCCTCCAGGGCCGGCCCCTCCCGAGATGCAGCCTGAGTTGCGGAAAGCCGCGCCGAAACCGACGGAGTCGGAGCGGCCCGGCTTTATCCCCAGCATTTTCGCTTCGGGCCAACAGATCCGGAGCCGGATCTTCATGGCCAGTGGGGACGAGTTCACAGAGTTCACCAACGCCTACCGCGCCCAGCAGCCCCCATCTGCAAAGCCACCATCTTCCACGAAGGCACCACCCCGTCCCGAGGCCAAAAGCGTGTCTTCCGAGCACTTTGGGACGCTGGGGCTGCAACCGGGAGCAACGGTGGAGGACGTCCGTGCAGCCTACCGCAAGCTGGCGCTGCAGTACCACCCCGCCTCCTGGGTACATCTGTGAACGTTTTTTAGTTGATTGGGAATTGACTCTATGATCCTATTATTTGGGGTACTATATTAGGGTCCCCTATTTTCGGAAACCCCCATATAGCATGCTATAGTCAACATAGTCCAACATCGATTTCTAAGTGTGCTCGAAGCTTTCAGAAACTACCAAGGACAAGAACCAAGGGAGCCAAGAAGCGTCGGAGAAGTTCCGCCAGGTCAAGCGAGCCTACGAGTTTTTGTGCGCCCGCTTTTCACAAGCCGCCTAAGATCAACTGCTAAGCTTCCGCTCCTAAAAATAAAAAGAAGGGAGCAGGATCCGACCTGGCTGGTGCTTACTGCAGAGTGGCTGCACCGAAAGGCGGCAAAAGGCCCGCAAGTGCCCGAGTGCTGGGCTCGTGGGGATTTTGCAACCGAGCCCTGCAGATCCCAGGAGGCAGCGTGTAGGCTGTTTAGGGCCTAGGGCCTAGGGTTTAGGGTTTATGTACAAGTCTGCGCAAAAGGGTTTTAGGTTAGGGCTAGCTTTTCAAGTCCTGCGCTCGCTCCGCCCTTGCCGTGGCCAAACTCACTCTTTCCGCGGGTCACCGAACACTGAACTGATTGAGCGAACCCCGGCAGATTGTGGATGACCTGGCATCTAGGCCAAAAACTTAGATCCGAAGCCCTGAACCCGAATTCGATACCCTCCTCACCCACACTGTCGTTCCGAAGCCTCCGAAACTCTGAGGTTTGACTCATGGCTGGTGTCCGAGCACAACGCTCGGGGATACAGTTCTGAGCAGCGCCTCGGCAAGATGGCAATGTAGGGGCCTAAATAGTTACCTATACTTTTTTGGGGGTTCCTTATTATAAGTATAGTATAATGGGCCCCAAAACCCTATTCTAATTATTAAGGCACCCACATTATACCGACCATGCTAGATTGAAACTACTGTATCGTACTATACAGGGGTTTCCGAAAATAGGGGGCCCTGGGAGGGTGCTCTAAGCAGTAGGATCCATATTATAAGGACCCCAAAATAAGGCACCCCTTATTGTCGGAAACTCCCTAATACTGTAATATGCTGTATTGTATTGTATTACACTGCACTCAACTGTACCCTGATGGCAAAACCCAAAAACTGAGCATTTTCATGAATCTCGAAGCAGACCCGTGGCAAGAAGATCCGGGGCAGCAGCAGCAAAGACAGTTCTCCCATGGCAGTTGATTCGAACGGGTCATCCCGCACAGTCGCCGAAGCATAAGCTATTGTTGCATCGTAGACGCGGACTCTGAAGAGTATGCAATCAGTACTCGCAAGAAGAACCACCATGCTGGCAAGTCAGAAGAGACGTTGCTGCTTGACCCAAAGATCAGCTGCAGCCGCAGTTGCTGAGCATTGCCATCGTGACAGAGTAGGAAACCAATCAGAGCATAAGAACGAAACACTTAACAAGTATTCATTCTAGACTCAGAGTTAAATTGCCGCCAGCGTTGTGAAACTCTGACAGCTACCAGCAGGCAGCATTATTAGGACCATGTTAGCGACCACACTGGTCGTCGTCGTCCTCGTAAAGCCGTGAAAGTCGCAACCCTTGAAGCCCGAAAGCCCAAACCCGCGAGGGGGCCTTGCACCCTAAACCCGAAACCCTTGCCTGCTTTGCCCGAGTCGCGAGGGTCCAAACGTTATCCCCGAAAAGAAACCCTAAAGTCGAAACCCTAAACCATAAACGTCAAACCATAAACCCCAAACCCTAAACCCTAAACTCTAAACCGAGCCTGAGCCCTGGAACCAGGCTTAGCGGCTCTTTCTCGATCGCCTTCTTCGGTAACAGCTTGGTAGCCATCGCTGCCGGGGAGGTGGGTGTGGAGCCCAGCCAACGGGGGTTTTCCTTAGAATCAGGGGCATCTTCTTTAGAGGTCCTTAAATGCCACAACAGCCATGACGGTGGTAAGGCAGGGTGCTCAGTAGTTATGAGGCCAGCAAATGCAACGGGCATAGAAAGTTGTAGGCCAACCGCTGCTGCTTCTGCTTCCGACGCGGTTGTCTGCGCTGCGACGATGACGACGATTGCAGCAGCTGGTACTTCTACTTACTACACTACTCTGCCCCTACTGCCACTAACTTCTATTACTATGATTATTCATTGTTGTAGCTGCTTCGATTCTCACCAGTTTGATCGGCTTCGAGGCAAACCCAGCCTTGTGAGCTGCAGGAGGCAATGCGGATGCTCCGTGAGGCAGAAAGGAGTGGCACAAAATCTTACACACCACTACCCCAAATCCAGCCTGAACAGCCTCCCCTCCTGGCGCCGTCCGAAGGTGATAGACCGAACACGCGCAGTCCGAAGCTAGTACAGGGGTCGGAATACTTAGTAATCTTAGGGGTTTGGTTTCAGGGCTCTCACCCCACACACGCATACATACATACATATATATATATATATATATGTATGCCAATCATCTTCTAATGTAGTTACACGTGTTACGTCTGCCCAAAATTCCCTGTTTCATTATTACGGACACTGAGCAATCATGCTTATACTAATTTGCCCGATGAAGTAGTAGAATCATGCAACTAAGGTCCCCAATCTATCTTTCCATCTATCTATCTGTCTGTCTAGCTGTCTATCTGTCTATCTATCTGTCTGTCTATCTGTCTATCTGTCTATCTCTTTATCTACCTGTCTATCTGTCTATCTATCTATCTATCTATCTATCTGTGTACATA